TGTTTTTATAATGTTGTTGCCTAAAAATAAAATCATTATTACCTTCATAATGTGAGCTGAAGATTGTTACTCTCTTCACTGATCTGCAGCAGGAGCATCCGTTCTGTGTTTAGCAGGAGCAAACCGCCGTCCAGGGAGCCGTTTCAGCTCATGAAGTCAGTCAGTGCAGCAGCACAACATCCTGCAGCTGTATTTATTGTTGACAGGTGATGAAACTTTTATGTTTGGAGTGGGCTAAAGCACCGAACCTCTCAGGATCTGATAAAAGCCTCTCTGTCCTGCACTGGGAAAAACTGATGTAATTTAAACCACTTGCACGTGACAAGCACTTTGGGATAAAATATTTCTACAGCTGGACGTCTGTGTGAAATAAAGTTTTAATAACAAGTGAGTGCACATGAAGATCCAGTCTGAAACACACATCCAAGGGATTTTTTTCAGTGTGTTAAAGGTTTATTTTGTCACATTATTCCAGTGACAAGTTCCCCTATTTAGCATTTAAAAGCACCATATAGGCCTAAACATTTAATAAATTGTTTATAACACACTATGATGAAGTTATAAGAAGATAAAACAACATTTAAGTGTCCAGCTGAGACATTTAAGATCAGTTTGTTCCTTTCATCTGCAGATCTCGAGAAGGTCATCAAAGATTTTGCAAAATACTTTCTTCTGGTATCAGCAGGCGAAACGTTGATGGTATTCTGCATTCTAGTGTACAGGATAGGCAAATATCAGCCTCGGGCTTCAGCCTATTCCTTTGTTTTTATGTTATTTTGTGTGAATGGATTGTTGTAAGCATGTATAAGATTTTTGTAAGTTGTATATTTACACAAAATTTCCTTTTTTTTTGTACATTACAATATAAACCGAAATAAAACATTAATTCATTGAAGCATTCAAAGACTGCAGCTGAGAAAACGCTGCTGCTGGGCTTGTAAATGTTCAAAGAAAAGAAAGCACATCAACCCAAATCTGCCCTTCACTGCTCACTTTTAGAGATTTGACGGCTGGTTTTGAAAGTCTCCTGTTTGTATCTGTGATCTGCTCCCTGTGAGCCTGATCCTGAGCTCCTCCAGCTAATGCTGGACTTATAGGCGACCTTTGCTTAACTGACAGTTTTATCTTGTTTTATATAATGTTTTGGATTTTATTCACTTTTATTTGTTTTTATCATATAGCACTTTGGTCAGTCTATTTCATGTCAGCTCTGAACACTGTACCCGCTGTTCAAGTCTTTCATTTCATCCTGGACTTTGTACGCTGCAGAAAAACCCTTGTGACACCTCAGGAAGAGAAAATGCTCTGAAGCTTTTTAGAGCTTTTTGTTCAGTGATCTGAAGCCATCGCTGATGGTCTTCATCACAGGCGCTTTTTGTTAACAAACAAAAACACTAAATGTGTGTTTTCTTTGTGCCAGAAATCAGCCCTGTCGAACACTCGACTAAACTGTTAGTTCATAAGAAAAGTCAACCAAGTTTTCATCGGTTTAGTCGACTGTTGGGGGCAGCCCTAGATATTTCCCTCTGTAGATGTGGCATAAAAATAAAATACTTAAGTGAAGTACAAGCACCTTAAAATTCACTACTAGAAAGCACAGCACCAGTAGTAAAAGGCATGTGCATTATTTGGGCGTGAACATGTAATCAGTCTCTGCAGCCCAGATGTTTCAGCTCGGAGCGGCTGAAAAATGCAAATGAGGAGGTGAAGTGATGCTAACCACAAAATGAGATTAGAGCGACACAAATGCATTTAGCAGCTGGACCAATAAGCAGGAAGCATGCGGATCAGCCTAGCAGCACACCATAGGAATGTTATGTGTTAAGTAACTGCATGAAGAATTAGACTCACTGCTCCTTTAATGTTGCGTAATTCCCTTTTTACACCTTTGTTCCTGCTCTGTGCTCCAGCTGTGCTCTCTCTCTCTCTCTCTCTCTCTCTCTTTCTCTCTGTGTGAACATAATGTGTGTCAGTGTTGCACAGTGTGTTCGTGTAAACAGAGGCCTTCAGGCGTCTGTGTGTGCGTGGTGTTTATTAAGACGAGAGAAAGAGAGAGAGAGAGTATTTGAATGCGAGGTGGCGGAGAAGCTTAACTGCTTCTCTACAGAGATAATAGCAGCTGTGTATCAATGAGGAGGCTGCTGGTTTGGCTCAAAGGGGTCTTCCTGCAGCACAGTAACCAACCAGCAATTATATTTGATCATTACCAGACACATTTTTATAAGAAGGAAAAAGAGAAAATGCTGACACGTGTGCATAGTTTACTTGCAGTGGTGCGAGCAGTAACCAAAAGTAACAATACCACAGTGTGGAAATACTCTGTCACAAGTCAAAGCCCTGCATTCAAAGTTTCCAAAACAGTTTGCACACTCTGTAAAATGTAAATAGAAACAAAACGTGATGGCATATTTAACAGAATGGAACAAAGAACACTTGTTGAAACTGAAAAATGTTTATGTTTTTGGATGATGATGTGCTCATTTTGAAATCGATGCCAGCAACGTGTTTGAAACCGGTCGGGTCATGTTCACTCTGTTTCGTCACCTCTTCTTTTATCAACTCTCTGTGAGCCTCTGGGAACCGAGGAGACCGACCGCTGGAAGCTGGAAGGTTTCCTCTTGCTTGATGTAGGATTTAAGCTTCTGGGTCTCCTTTGTCATATTTTACGTTTCATAATGCTCCAGACATTCAGAGGGTCTCTGGCAGGACAGTTTAGCATCCAGACTCTTTAACTACAGAGCCATGCTGCTGCAATACCTGCAGAATGTGGTTTGGCATTGTCTCGCTCAAATAAGCAAGGGTGTTCCTGAAGAATGACGTCGTCTACTTGGCAGCATTTGTTGCTCCAAACCTGTATGTATCGTTTGGCATCAATGGTGCCTTCACAAATGTGCAGGTTACCCCACAGATGCACCCCACGGTGGTTTTTACACTGTGCACTGGTAACAGGCGGGATGGTCCCTCTGCTCTTTAACCTGGAGGACTCACGGTCCATGATTTCTAAACAGAATTTATAATTTTGACTCATCAGACCTAAGGACAGTTTTCCAGTCCACCTCAGTCCGTCTTAAATGAGCTCGCGCTCACAGAGGACAGCAGCGCTTCTGGATCTGGTTTACACACAGTGGTTTTTGGAAGCGTTCCTCAGTCCATGAAGGGATCTCTGTCTGTTTTTGATGCAGAGCCGTCTGAGGGCCCGATACCAAGAGTGGTTTTCGGTCTTGACCCTTGCACACAAGGGATTTCTTCTAAATGATATTAAAAGTAAAAGTACTCATACTTGAATGCTGCATGGAACAATTCAGAATAATTATATTGTGTTCATCACTTTAATGCAGCAGCTGGTAACGGTGGGATAATAACGTATTTGCTGATTATCTTTCATTATCATCGCTGAATCTGCAAAGTAACTAAAGTTATTAAATAAGTGTAGTAAAGGACGCAGTAAATAATACAATATTTGACTCTGAATTGTAGAAAAGCACATTGTACTTAGTTACTCCACCACCCTCAGTTTCAGCAATGATTGCAATGCAGTGTAGCATTATTAATGTTATTAGTTGGACACTCTGCTGTGAAAAAGGTCTATTCAATTGAAAGTAACTTCACTTTAGAGGGCCAGTTCTATAATGACTCTGCAGTTCGGAAACCACTGATATCTGCAAGCATTTGTTCTACACAACCAAATAAAATAAAAAAATAAACCACAGGATGTGAGACACTGAATGTGTGAGGCCAACATTTGATATTGTAAGCTGATATAATCGCCGAGTATTAACCCGGAAGGTTACAGCAGCACACAGTTACTTAAAATAAAGTTATTAAAATAAAGATGTAACCGAAGGGATGTCAGACACTGGATACTGGAGCCCTGTCTTTCTGCCTCTTCCCTCCTCCCGCTCACTTCCTCTCTCCCACATGAACACAGAGCTCCTGACACTTTGATTATGGGGTTCAGCTGATCGCAGCTCTGCAGAGAAAGGAAGCTTTAACTGTGTCTTCATTTCTGTATGTGTGTGAATAAACTCCAGACTGCTGAGATTCCTATTTGAAATTGCCACCATAAATCTTTGTAATATTCCTTTAACATTCCTACGCGGAAAAGTTTGTCAGTAAGTTCACTGTATTTCTCATCTCCTTTGACACCACTGTGGTATTTATATATTGTTCTACGATTTTGCTATGATACAATATTATGTTTCTAAAACAAATTATATGTTAATTATGTTTCTCTTCTGTAAATAAGCGGCGGAGGTTTCCAGGCGTGGTTTAACAGAGGAAGCCGCGGTTTGTGATCAGCTGCGTCAAGTTAGAGAAAGAAAGCAAGTTCATCCGGAAGTAAGGCATTTGCCCTTCAAAATAAACATGTTCATTTCAAGTTGAAGTTCAAGTGAAACGCTTAATATATAAAGACCATCCATCCATTTAAAGCTCACAACGACCCTCCTACTCAGCAGCTAAATCAAATGTAATTATTTTAATGTGTAATCTGTATAATAACTGTAATAATTATACGTCTTTATGTATTGAAAGGAAAGAAAGCAGCACAATACAAGTTCCACATGGAGATGAACAAAAATAGTAATGGTAGTGGTAATATGACAAATAACAAGTGTAGTATTTGTATGATCATAATTAACATGCAATAAAACACACAGCATCTCACATATAATGTTTTTAAAAACAGAGAAGCCAGTTCAGAGTGAAGCACGCTGAAAAAATCTATTCAGTTTGGGCCCCGTGTCACTGTTAAGGTGTATTTAATGCAGTATTTTGCATAACGCTTTCTAGAAGATTTTAAAGTATTTGGGGGGGGGTACTTTGGCTTAACACTGAATACAGATTAAAGACTGTGCAACAGTTTTAAAGTGGCCTTGTGATCAGACAGGGCTTCACTGAAACTGACAATGAATTTAATGGCTGGATTAACATTGTTAGTTAATTTTCAGAACATTTTTAAAAATGCTTTCAAGAAGTGATGGGAACATGTCCCCAGCATCTCCAGTGTAAATCACACCTATGCTCAACAATTGACCCAGAGAAGCCTCAGGAAAAACACCAGATGAGATACCAAACATTTCCTGCATAACTATACGTACATACCGTTCAATAAAAGGTAAATATGAAGTGTAAAAAAAAAAAAAATCCATGTCCTTGTCCTGATAAACATAACCTTCTGCATCCACTAAAAAGGAATTTTATTTTGAAAGTATAATCACAGGAAGTCTCTTTGTTGGTCACTGTTGCTCTCTTCACCAACCTGGAGGATTTGGTCACCGGCTCGCCGCGCCTCCGCACACTCAACCCACCAGCTGCCGTCACTTCAGTTCACATCAGGAGGTAAGGAAAAGATTCACACTCATTTTACTGTTTATCCGCGCGGTGTGTGTCTCACATCACACGCTGTGTGTGCGTTTGGGGATTGAACCCGGTCAGTGTTCACTGAAGTTTGCTCGTGTTGCGGCAGCGCAGGTGCGTAACAGCGTAATTACTGGTAAATTGACATCGCGCGTAAAGTTTGCGCGTAATTATGTCGCAGTGATGGAAACAACGGCGGTGACGCGGTGTCGTGTGGGTGTCTTTTTGGCTTGTGAAGGCATCCGTCCTCTGCAGTGGTCGGGTACAGCACCCTGGCGTTGTGCGCTGGATTGCAGTGGCCAGATCAGCCATGTGTTACAGTTGGGGGGGCGGGGATCGGTATCAGCTGATGCACGTGGACCACGGAGCAAAACCCGGATCCGGGAACAGGTTCGGGGAGGTTCCCAGATGCCGATGATAACAGGTCAGACCAGTACGGAGGTGTGTGTCACCCTGCTGGCCTGTGACAGCTCGCTTCTTCCTTTTTCACTCCTCGACAGATTACAGATAGACAAAACCACTTCCTCCAAATCAGCAGGTCAATCACACAGCTTCACCCCCCCACACGAAACCAACACACAAACAACTTACCAAACCCAGTGTGAGATCTTACAGTCTCTCTGCATCATCATCTGTATCAGTCCATGAAGTCTTCTTTGCTTTTTCCTCAAGCTTGACTTGTGTTCAGTGTTTCTTCCTTCAATTCTTTGAAAGTCTGTTTCTACACTGTCCTTCTACAGTAAGATGCAGGTTTAGATTTCACCTCTAATAGATACAGTTTCATGTCAGATGTGCTTATAATATTTAGTCTGCTCTCACTGATGCAGCGATGTGGACAAAATACATGGAACACCCCAGTTTATGGCTTCGATCAACACCTGTCTCTCAAACAGCCTCAACATAATCTGAACAGTGTAACCGTCATGGTGGGAGGATCTACTGCATTATTATGTTGCAGTGGTTTTAGCTCTAGATGTACCTGCAAACTACTGCAGACTCAGAACGCAGTTATTTCATCTTCACCCAAAAGTTTTTTGTTCGTTTTATTTTTGTTTTTTCTTTAGAGACCTTTCTACTGGCTTTAAATTAGGAGATGCCACAAAATGTCGCTTTTTTTAGCCGGTGTGGTAATTCACCCACATCCTGACACATCTGGTCACGTGATCAATTTAGTCAGTAACAGCCTAAATTAAACTAACACTTGTTAAATCCTCCTTTCAGGGTTAATGTTTGATTTTAAACGCATGTATTTATTATGAATGGTGTTAGGGGAAGACCACCCTGATGTCAGGGAGAAATACGCATTTCATACTATGTCAGCTTGTGGTTGATAGTGGACTTTCTACAGCTCTGGTGTTGGTGTCTACCAACTCCTGAGGGAAATGTTTGACTCTTTAGCTGTTAAGTGCTCCACTAACAACGCTTCCTTGTATTTTTCCTTGTTTAAGTGTAATCTGTAGCTTCTGCTTGTCGTTGGGAGTTGTAGTCGACCTCTTGCCTTCAGTTTTTGGATCCACAGGCTCACACCTTCTGACATTTTATCAATAAACCAGATCTTCTTACACAATACTGATGATTCGACGTGGACAGTTTCGTGACCATCCATCTGTCGGTCATCTAACTTGTCTGAGAACATGAACCAGACTTTTACTTCAACGTGCCTGAAATAACTCGCCTCCATCCTGTCATGTCTGTCTGCAGAGAGTGCCTTTAAGTGTTGCAACGCCGCTGCTGCACGACTTGCAGGGTAACAGTGTGGCTGGTTTTGGGGGCACGAGGAGGTGTTTTTTTATTTTTTTTTAACCACTGCTACTGTACATGATGGACAGGAAGTCTAGACAGGAAGTCTGAGGAAAGAGAGAATAAGAAGGAGGAAAGTTTTCATTTCCGCTCTTTCCTCAGATCTTTTCTCTTAGTAGTTTTGTGTGTAAACAGGTGGGCGTGTTTCAAGTGTGTGTGTGTGTGTGTGTGTGTGTGCCAATTTTTTTTAAATCATTAAATAGGGCAGGTTTGACTTGTTTGTTTACTCCCATACAGACTGACGGGCACCTGGGAGACGTTTGCCTTCAGTTTGGCCTTCTGCCTTTCTGTTTTTCTAAACCTAAGCCAGCTGGAAGGCTTTCTGGCAGAGAGGCTTTCTGGAAAACTTCTCCCATGAGCTGGGCTTTGCTCAAGTATTGTTGTGCACAGGTGGATACTGTGAGTGTTTGATAATATATTCATGTAATGGCTCTTCCAGCAAACAGTCCACAGCATGGGAGTGCTTAATTGACTTTGTGGGTGTGTGTGTGTGCTTTTGTAGCCCACACACACACACAGATAGGGGAAGTAGAGCTCCAGGAGCAGCGGGCGCGGTGGGAGAGGTCCAGACTTTAATCAGGATTGTCAGCAGTGAAATGCCACAACACAAACATGCCACAACTGACAATTAAACCCAGCAACAGCAGCTGAAACCTGGGCTCAAGTATCACGTCATTAAATGTCTCAAACAACTGACCCTTCGCTAAGCCACACCCCGAATACACAGCTGGCCAATCACAGCGCAGTATAGGCCTCGCTCTAACTGAGGTCCAACACTTTCTTGGTTGCGCTCCGTTGACTCTAATGCTGAAAGGAGTCGTTCTGTAGCTTTCTTTTGCCGTATTTTTCCAAGATAAGGTCAAACGCTGTTCCTGGGGCACTTTTAATAATTACAGTCGCTACCCAGCGAGTTTTCCATAACCTAAAACAAATCCAGAAAAATGTCGGCTGTGGATTGTTCCTAATGTAATGTTAGTTAGCCAACGTTAGCTAAATTCCTAAGTCCGACAGTTTGTTGTGCTTAGCAACAGCAACTAAGGGGGGCGTGGCTTAGCGAAGGGTCAATTAAAGTGCAGAAGTTGGAGAAGCCTCTTCCGTGTGATTCCTTTGCCAATATGCATGGATGTGATTATTGTCTACATGGCCAAAAATATGACACCTGAACTTTACACAGGTACATGTGATGGTGCTGCAGCATGTCAGGTGCTCCCACCTCTCTGCTTACTGAGAGAGATTAAGTTAGTTTGTCACTTAGTACGGGACGTGGCCAAATATACAGTGGGCACGGAAAGTATTCAGACCCCTTTAAATTTTTCACTCTTTGTTTCATTCTCATTCGTTCTCATCAAAAAAGTTCATTTTATTTCTCAGTAATGTACACTCAGCACCCCATCTTGACAGAAAAAAACAGAAATGTAGAAATTTTTGCAAATTTATTAAAAAAGAAAAACTGAAATATCACATGGTCATAAGTATTCAGACCCTTTGCTCAGTATTTAGTAGAAGCACCCTTTTGATCTAATACAGCCATGAGTCGTTTTGGGAAACATGCAACAAGTTTTTCACACCTTCAAAATCATTAGAAGCTGCAACAACAACAACAACATGTGAGTGGTTTTGGACCGAGAGGGGAAATGACACAATTAATATATTAAATATAAATGTGGTGCAAGATATAAATTTCATATTTCCGCAACTTCTCCAAATGCTGCTGAAATGTAATAATAGAGGAGGAAAAACAGCAGACTCTCTCAGAGTGGTACACAAACACAAAGTGACTGTGGATCAGGGGCTGGAGAGATTATTGTGTAACCGAAAGGTCACAGGTTTGATCTCCCTGCAGCGGCCTGTCGAGTTGAATTAGCTCTCAGTAACACGCCGAAGCCTTTCCCGCCGGATAAAAGCATCTCTCACTTATCTTCATGTTGGGATCTGAAGTGACTGCGGTTACATGAGCCAATTATTTCTTTTTTTCTTTTTTTTTTGCCTTTCAGATGAAATAAATTGCCGTGAAAGTATTTACAGCATGCGGTCACTGAGTTAAATGTCAACAAGGATGTTTAGACAGTTTATCCAGCACTCCACCATGAGCAAACTTTTTTATCAGTGCCTCTGTCAATAGTCACAAGCACTGAATAACAGGACATTAGGGAGTGCTGGTCAGATCATCACTGTGGTTGTTTTTATAGGTTGATCTGATGGAAGACATTGATCCTCAACAACTTGTAATTGGCTCTTATGCAGTGTTCTAGTTTATTTAGCTGTTTCTGTGCAGAAGACATGATGGTGGAGATATGAAATTCATTCCAGTGATCTTAAAAGGCAGTATGTTACAGGATACACATCTCTCTCTGTCTCTGCATGCTGTGCTCTGTGTCTTTGTATCTCTGCAGACTTTATGTTAATCTGACAGCGTTCAGTTCAGACACTGTGTCGTACATTTCAGGTCCAACTTGTAAGATTGCTGTCAGGGGCTGCTGGGTATGATAAAAAATCATAGAAATGTCCAGTATTGCAATGAAGCAGTCGTGCTCATTGCTTTGTAACTCTGCTCTCAATGTCCTAATACCATCATTTATTCTCATGCAGATGGGGCGTTTTGTCCAGACTGGGAAATTGTTAGTGGAACAAAATGCAATTTCAATGTGAATTTCAGCTTCTTGTGTTTGTGGTATTTCAGTAACCCGTGAGCTTCCTCCTGTTTCTTATAATGGTGATTTGGTTTGTTGTGGGAGTGTCCACTGAATGCCTAAAATGTCTCAGTAAATTGAGGTCACATACACAGTCTGTTGTTCTGCTGGATTGGCTGCTAAAAGTCATGAGTCAGGAGATTACGATCGACTGATGAAAAACAAGATGCTCTGCACAAGACACGAGTCTTAACGTCCCATAAAGACAGAAACGCTCAGCGTTGTGTCACTGAAAGGATCTTGGTTACCTGACCAGCCTTGACCCACACAGACAGACACACACACACACACACACACACACACACACACATGATTACACACATTTATAGTGCAAGAAAGAGGAAGTGTGTTGCAACCTGCCAGTCACATGCTGCTGGATAATGTCAGTCTGTATTCATCAAACTGTCCAATGTTGCTAAAAATGACATGACACCACATCTGCCAACACTCTTTCCCATCTCCCGGTGGCCTTTTGTTTCTCCTGCCTTGTCA